AACTCGCTATTCCTCTACTCCAGACAAATGTTAAGAAAAATAGTTTTTCTGGAGCCGTTCTTTGGAATAGCCTTCCTATATATTGACCAGTAGCAGGCGAAGTCTCTTCGAGTTTTGAGGTCCGGCTGCAAACAATCCTTCTGGAGATCTACACGGTACTTATGTAAAGCAAACTAAGGCTTTCAGTCTTATTCGGTTTGTGACAAAGACAAAGGTAAGGTTTTGGAGGCCTGCTTGGGCGTCTAAGTTTCATGGACTAAGGTTACGGAGGATGAGGTAAGTCCTCAAGCCTGTCTTTCCTTTTTAGTTGTTCCCATTCGTTCGTTACAAAGTTCTTTTTAGGTTTAGTATTATACTCTATTTTGTTTCCCTATTTTTATTGTTATTTATGTATTTTTTTTTTTTGCGGAAAAGACGATGTTCTCTTTCCAAACGCTGTTGAAAGGAACTTTCAGTCTTTTAACCCGTCATCTGTAGTTCAGTATTACAGCTAGAGTTCCCTTGACACTAAAACGTCAATCAGTGCAAAGTCTTTCAGACCACAAAGCAGCCCGTACTTTTTGCGTAAGCCAAGAACGCGGAATAGTCGAAGGAATGGTCTGGAGCAAAACAAAATGGTCGTTCCCTCTTGTCTGGAGCAGAGGGGGCGCGGCGGGGAAGGGGGGAGGTGAGTGAGACTGAGGAGAGAATAATAATAATAATAATAATTTACGAATTTATATAGCGCGTATTTATATTTGCTGATCAATAGTGCTTTACAATCATGTGTTTAAAAGAAAACGAAAATACATTACCTTGAGAATAAAATAAACTAAGTTACAAACTATAAAAATACTTTTAAAAAGATAGGTTTTAAGTCAAGATTTAAAACTGTTAAGTGAGAATCGAAAAATAAGTCTAGAAAATAGGATAGAAAATGACAAAGAAAAAATGAAAGAAAGGAAACAAGAAAGAAAAAAAATCGCAGTCTAAAAGCAGTTGAAAAGTTAGTACTACCAAATCTGTTCCTGCTGATCAATAACAAAGCGCCAACAGTGCTCGACGCTCAAGTTGAATACCGTATTTATTCGAATAAGCGCCCAACCTCGAATTAGCGCCCACCTCGAATAAGCGCCCATCCTAAAGGCAGAAAATTTAATAAGTGCCCACCCCCAACACACATCCCCCCACACAAACTCAAATAAGAGAGATTGTTACATCTCCGCTTTTTGTTATTGCCATTTATTTTTTTGTTGCAAAATAAACATACTACACTTGCTGAGAATGGCGAAAATTTAATAAGCGCCCAGCCTCTAACAAGCATCCACCTCGAATAAGCGCCCACCCTCAAGGTCCAAAAATTTAATGAGCGCCCAGGGCGGTTAATCGAATAAATACGGTATATACCATAAAAATTTGTAAATGAAGGACGTAGTTAACCTGTAAAGAAAAGTGGGCTAGAAAAAATGGCGAAGGGGCGGGGTTAGGGAGAGAGGGGGAAAGGTCCTCCTACTCTCTTCCACGTTTGGTTTCCTCCGTTCCCCATTTCGCGCCATTGTCTACTATCCACTATCCACTACGCCTGGAATAGGCTAGTTCATAGTGGGCCAGAGAGTTTTTTTCCAATGGCGATGCAAGGGATCTATAGATGTCCATTTAGGAGCATTTGCCATTTTTAAAAGCTCATGATCACGCTGCAACTATTCCTGCTTTAGCATTAGTAAAACGCCACTTTTTTTTCTATTTTCCGTTTTGCTGTAGAGGAAAGTTTTTGGTGATTTGTTTTTGATGATGGCGTTTCATCGTCGATCGAAACGAGTTAAAATGTTTTCTGAAACGTTCGTTACAATGTACCTTTATAAGCATGATAGTAATTCATCGAAACGTACATGTATACTTATACATAATTACTTGAAAGAGAAAACTCGCAAGAAAAAAAAAGTGTTCTAATTAGTTAATATTGGTTATCCCAGTCTTAAATTTAACGTATTTATGCCTTTTGACGGATACTTAAATTAATAAAACACACCACTGTACTTGTTTAAAGTTTGTTTTCGTTGGGCTCCGGTCGTCGCCGTCTTGCCGACTTCGCTCAAAAAGCCGACTTTTGGGCAATTCTACACTATATATTGTATCCAAACAAAATGACTCTTCTAAATAAGATAAGTGTATTGAAAGATGTAATATAGATTGTATGCTGGAATTTGGCAGGTGATTAGCGTAGAATAGAATGTTGAAAGTGAATCTGTCGTTAACACCGCTGGCGTGACGGGCCGGGACAAGCTATTTTTAACCATGGGAATGTCGCGATTTTTCGCAAAATTAGGGTTGAACTCGGCGTCTTGCGGGCTACTTAAAATCGTTTGCCCAGAGATTTGTTTCGATTTTCTGATAGATTGGGGCCTAGTTAACCCGTAGAAAGTCAATTTGCGAAATTCTAAGCAATAGCGCATTGTAAAAATTTACATTATTTTTACCCTATAATTTTGAACCGGTGAAATTGTCAATAGGGCCTATTTTTTAACAATACCTTTTTGGCCACAAACTTTTTACAGCTTTCACAAATTTATCGTCTTATAAGAAAGAAAGGGTCATGAAAACTATTCGTGTTCTTCAAAGGCTGACAAATCGCTGTGGTTTGACGTACGAGTCAATGAAATTTGTGTAAAATTTCGTTTTACCTGAAGTGGATTTTGAGCTCCGAACGGGCAAAATGAGTTTTCTCGAATTTTAACAAAAGAACACGATATTTGGGAAAACAAACTACAGCATGTTTCATTACTCATTAAGGGTTATCGATGAGCCAGAAATGAGGGAAATTCGAATGTTGAACTTGTGCCACAAAAAGTCAAATTTGGTCGATATTCACAGACAGTCGCTCTTAAAACTTCAGAAATTACTTTCTTTTGGAGGTAAGAAACAAGTGTAGCAAGACTCAAATTCAGTTTTGTTTATCAAATATTATTTATTCATTTATTTATTTATATCATTTTTTAGCTTAATAATAGTGGGCAGGGCTGGACCAGTGTACGGAGTGAGGGGGGAAGGGGGGGTAACTTAATGTCTTTTTTTTTTGTTTGTTTGTTTTTTTCCGTTAAGTACTTTTCGAGGACCAAGATAATTTTTTCAAGGACTTCTTTTCCCTGCAGCCTAGTCCTTAAGCGTTCTCTCTTGACCCGTTGTCCGCGCGAAGTCTGGGAAAAAGCGGGCGAGTCTCTCTCGGTGACGTCACAGCTCACGGTAGAGTCCACGGATTGTCCGCGCCGAGAACGTCTAGGGACTAGACTGTTTTCCCTGTAATTTGACATAGAATGACATGAAGTAAAGATCTTTCAAATTCGAAGGTAGAGGGAGGTTTACTTATTGCAATCCCTGCCCCCAGGAAGGCACGGTTCCCAGGGTACTTCAAACAACGGAAAATGAACTATTCCGGGAACATTGGAATCATAAGAAAACACACTTTCATGATCACCAAGAAAATTTGCGTACTGCTGTGCTTTCAATCTTTCCTTTCCACAAAACACTTTTTTAACAAAGGTTATTTTCATTCATGACAAGGAGCTTTCAAAAAATATTCAAGGACTTCTGTGGTTGAGTATGATCGTCCGGGTGAACGTAGTCCTGAATAGGACTGTTGTTGTTGACAGTGATTGATGTTTCCAACACCTGTGTGGTAGTCATCTTCAGAGTCAAAGAGAGTTGTATCAAGGCTAAACTCGTTTTTCTCTGCCTTCAGTCATTAGTTCCTAGTTACTTTTCATTATATTTTACTAGATTTTCGAACATTCACAATTATTTTACAAGGCAAAGTATGAGGTTATCCCTGGGAACAGGATCTTTCTGTTTACTGGCGCATAATTTTTAACAAACCCTCTTTAAACATTGTGAAGAGTGAAAACATTCAAGCGTTCTGCCGCCGAGCAAGACATTTCTTTTTATCAAAAACTTTGATATTTTACTATATTTCAGGCTTTAAATGTGATTTTGCATTGTATTTTTAGGCTTTTTAATGTAGTTCGTAAATTTCATTATTGTATTCTTATTAGGCTTTTCAAAAGTAATAGTTCATGAAAATTCTTAATGTAAGTTAATTTTTTTTAAGATACAGGGCCCCTATGGAGACCAGCCTTAGAGCTGAATGGGCTACCCTGTACACATAAAGTTTTACTTTACTTTCACACGTCAGTTGATGTTATTAAACTCTGGTTATTGAACTGGCCAATAACATCACGGCTTAACTGACAGACGACTTATAACTTAACATATTAATTGATCAATCAGGTCAATAACCAGAGTTTAATGACATCAGCTGACGTGATACAACTCTCTTTGATTCTGAAGATGACTACCTCACAGCTTGTCGAAACGTCAGTCACTGTCAACAACAACAGTCCTATTCAGGACTACGTACACCCGGACGATCATACTCAACCTACTTACTAAATCTCTCTAATACCACAATAACACCCTGTACACTATGACAGATCATTCTATTGATTGAATTGTTTTAACAGTTGCCCAGCTGGCTAACCCCTAATTCAAGAGCTCATGGCTTTTTTCTGCAGCCTACGTTTCACTTTCTCCCAGACACAGGGTATTTGCGCTTTTAAAAATAACATTGTGCAGGAGATGGCGTTGGAGGAAAGAATGAACAACTGTCATACTGAAGTACCTCTTCATTTATCATTCAAAAAAATAATCTAAGAATACCACGTAAAAGCAGCTAATATCTCACACTATACACATCGTTTCAAAAAAAACTACTTACAAAACACAGTATTAGTAAAAATAAATATGTAGAAGAACTTGAGTTAAATTTATATCATAATAGGCCTTTTTCGAGTTCCAAAAACTCCCATTTTCAAAACGAGTCAAAGTGCAAAACCATTCTTGTGAGAATAAAAAATTACTTTCATATCAATAGATTTGCACTTCGCGTCGCTTGAAACAGAGGCTCGAAGCAACTCGAAAATGGCCTATTGTCATTTGAATCTACAATTCACTCAATAATATTCAACAGTTTAACTTGTGCTCACTTTCAGTCGTTTTCTCAAATTGAAGCCTATGGGTTCCTCTTGGTCCTCGACAAAGGCATGAGAAACACATTCCTCGTTGTGACCAGACAAGATCCCGAATTTGCGCCGAGAAAGTCTCCCCTTTCCACCGTACCGCTCGGATTTCGGAGAGAGATCAGAAAAATTCCGAAAGCGGGAAGGAGGAGATACTGTACTGTTACAAAGCAATGGCGACTCTTGTAAAATTTTAATGCTGCTCGCAGATAATGGTGTCTTGTTCATGTGACGCCGCTTGAAGCTGGAAACCACTGAGCCTGGACTTTGAAATACTTCATCTTCCTCTTCAAAACTGGTGTCACTACTTAAACAGGAATTCGCATTTTCCGTTTTCACCTTCTCTGCTTTCCGAGTGTGTTTACTCCCTGTGCTATTACAAAGTAATGGCGATTCTTGTAAAATTTTAATGCTGCTAGCAGATAATGGTGTCTTGTTCATGTGACGCCGCCTAAGACTGGAAGCCATTGAGCCTGGACTTTGACACACTTCGTCTTCCTCTTCAAAACTGGTGTCACTGCTTAAGAAGGAGTTCGCCCTTTCCTTTTTGGTTTTCTTTTCTTTTCGAGTATGTTTTCTACCAAAGACAACGGATTTGTCAATTCTTCGCTTTTTCTTCGGAGGTGAGGATGCAGTTTGGCTTTCTTCAGCTCCTGGCCGTTGCAAACTATTATCCATTTCTGTAAGCCAGCCATCCCCCTTTGCCGATGACCTAGAAATATTCTCAATAGCAATAGGACTAGGTACCTTAGTATTCACCCCTTGCAATGAAGTCCTCGCCCTCACGTTTTTGCTTGGGGTGTCACGCTTATGCGAGTAAATAGACTCGCTGGAACATTTGTCCACTGGAGAACTTGAAAAGCACCGCTTCCGTTTTTGCTGGCGTAAAAGCTGATTGAGTGGACTTGAGCTCTTGCTTCCAGCAGCTGAATTGCATGCACCGATTGAGTGACCATTGCGTTTCCTTTTTCCTTTCTTGACAGGAGGAGTTGAAAGCTGCGGAGATTGATTCTGCAACGAGCATTTTCTCACAGGCGATCTACGAGGAGGCGACTTGAACTGTGCTACAGGGCCGTTCCCTCTTGACACAGACGATCCACGAATCAAATCAGGTGACTTACACTGTGTGGGAACGTGAGAGTGCCCTCCTTTTTCAAGCGATCCACGAGATAAAGCAGGCGACTTGAACTGAGCTTCGGAGCTGTGCTTTCCTTCTGCAGGGGTTAATGATGACCGTGAGGATGTTGAGGAGATTTTGCAGTCTTCTTGACTTTCCTCTGTTAAACAAATGAACCACTCCGTGCCTTGGCTCGTAGATCCCGTACATTCTTTTGCGCTTTTACTCATCGGAGTCTTCTTCCTCAGTTTTAGTGACAAGCGCTTACCCTGGTGTTCAGGGAAGTCAAACGAACTTCCTGAAAGTCTAGTTGATGAATGCGGTGAACTTTCACCATTCTGTGTAGTCTCGTTCAAGCTACTCCTCTTTCCACCTGGGCTAACAATAGTTTCATTGAAGTCTTGAGGTCTTATGTGCACTGGAGATTTTAACGGTCCCCTTAAAGGAGTCAAACGCACCACGCACTCTTCAAAACGATGATCTCTCACTGGGGTTTTGGGTACCGTCACGTTCTGTTTACTTGGGCTTGGAGAAGCCGTTACAGGCTCTGCGACCTTGGAATCTGTTGGTTTACACGAAGAGTCTCCTGCTACTTCTTTGGAATATTCGCCCTTATCACGTTTCTCCAGTAATCTTGGCGAGCTGCGAACAGCTGGACTAGTCATATTCTTCATGGGTGTCCCTAGGTTCTCTTCGTGTGCTTTTGGAAGCCTATCCAATTGCTCCAGTGACTCAGGATCATGTGACTGTGTGTGGCCTTTTAACCTCGGGGATTTGTGCCCGGCAGTAATCTGTGGAGAACCCCGGACAGGTGACTCTAGACCGAGTGGATTAAACTTCTGCTCATTATCCCCAGGAAACGGAACAGACGAAAATCCGATACAGGAGAAGGAGCGCTTTTTTAAAAGCCTTGGAGATGATCTAGTGGGAGCCTTTATTTGTCTTTTAGGTGTAGTCGGTTTATGAGGTTTCTTTGAACTGTCTTCTTTTTGGTCGCATTCCTTTGCCGTACTCAACACGCTGTGAAGCGAAAACTTTCGCTTGTGCCTAGGAGAAAACCGCAGCGGCGATACAGCTGCGAACGTCAACTTTTGTGGCGTCTTCCTAGCAGGACTTTCCAAAGCTTCAGCGGGCTCCTTCTTCGGTGATTCGCGAGGCCTTACACCAGTAAAGGACTGGGTTCTGGTCAGTGGGCCAGCACTGTTAGAGCGACCATAAAATGACTGGCTCCGCTGAAAGATCATCCCAGGGTGTCTTCGCGGGCTTCGGCGAGGAAGGCTGTCTACTGCAAAGAGAGAGAAAGAGATGCAACTTTAGTCTCGAATTAAGGAGCGACGAGCACTATGTGTAGCATTGATGAACTAATGGCCGTTTTCATACCAGAGACGTTAAAGTCGTCTTAGACTCGTCTGGTTTAAAAACGGAAACTAAGACAGAAGGAAGGAAAAGTATTTGACCAAAGTCTAAATTCAACCAAAGTTATTTCCTTCTCAGCAACCTAACATTAAGTCGCCAATTACTACTAAGAAGTACCACTTTACTACTTCATATGAGGATATCTCGTCCTGATATTTCTCATCTTTTTCCCCCGGTATATGTACGCAATGGATGATTGCAGGTGGAAGAAATCAAACCGCGACTTGAATATCTCAAGTGTAAACTGTCGATTTTTAAGACTTACGGTAGGTTATAACAAAATAACTCCGTGATTAAGGAGTCAACTTTATGAACCTCACTGATGCGCAAAATATTAAATAGTTCAGCGCAATGGGAAACGTTTGCGCCAGTGCTGCACAGTTCGTCCCAAAATCAAACTAAGGAGGTCATCTCTGAGAACTGAGTTGATATCTTATAGCTTGTAATTCTGTCGCTTCCAGAGTCAATCAAGAAGACACGTAACCTGCTTGCAGCTCCTTCAATGGCGACTCCTGTAACACATGCACCTCGGAATCAACACGAGAACGTTTCCTGAAACACAAACGAAACAATGGAGAGTTTTGATGAACTACTGAACAAAGCGATGCTAATTTTTCTGAAGTCCTTGTTGCACTACTGTTGCACTACTGGGGTAAGCAATTTTTCTTGCAATTGTATCACAATTCTATTTTAAGCGAACCTTACACCTTACCTAACCTGTAAGGTGAAGTTTGATTGGAATTCTGAGTCATTGATCTGAAGCTGGTGAGTCACGTACGAAATGGCCCGGGAACCTGAACATTGCTCTTGTTCATGGTTTGTAGGACAGCAAATAAACCATCACTGACGATCTTGGTTCTACCGCTAAGTCGTCCACTTCCTCGCTCAAAAGCTCGTCCTCCGGAGAAGAATTTCCTGGTGTCTTTGTCCATTTGGGACCAATTTTGCGTTTTTCTCTCAGATCGCGCGATCATACCAGTAAACGCTTAAAAGGCTCATAAAGGCGAGTAAGACCAAACAGAATTGTCAGGTTTGGCTTAACGTGGTGTCAGATCCGGAACACATCAAAACAGGTTTTTAACTGAAAGAACCTCTTTATTCTTTGAATCAACAAAAAGGTCTTCTTTTTTCTAAAGATGGTATCTAATTCAATAAACTCATGATCTCAATACCTATTTGGTATTCTTTAGTCTCACCTGGCACGATCTTGTTTACGCCACAAAGCATTAGACACTTGTTTGTGGGCTGGTGTCTCTTGGACACAGGCTTTTGAGAATGAAGCTGGAAATGAATTTAAAAAGTTTTTCATCTAAAACGGTTTAACAGGGGAGTGCACTTAGTTTTCTAGCTAGTATACAGACACTTTATTAGAGTAATTAAAATCAAATAATCAAAATACAGTAGAACCCCGACAACTCGGACTCGGATAACTCCAAGTCCCAGCTAACTTGAACTAAATCCATTTCCCTCGGATTTCACCCCACGCGGGTTAACTCGAACTCAGATAACTCGAATTCCCTGCTTAGTCGAACTAAATTTCCTTTCCCTTGATAAAAATTTTACTGAAAATTACCCCTGTTGTGTACTATACACTGAAGTACTGAAAAAAGTAATCATATATTATTTAGCAATTGAATTAGGCTGAGTAGGATGTGAAGAAATGTGCAGGTCGAGGAGGATTAACAAGCTTACTTCCTCGTAGACTTTCTTCTACACTTTGGCCTACTTCTCGGCGCGGTTTCAGGATATATATACTCCTTACAAAGTAGATAATATCCACCAAGCAATATGTTTTGCGTAGTCTGGTATTTCTTCTATTCAGTTTTAGTCAGAAATTCAGCTATTTCGTCTTCGAATAGCCGTGAACGCCATTTTTTTAGTTCACTCGTGAATAAAATACTAGGCGGCTGCTGCTGGAAACTCAAAAGAAAATGTTGAGATTGCAACCTAGGCAGCATAATAAAATTTACACCAAGCAAAAGTTACAAGACCAGGGGTCAAAATAGCGGCTGGTCAACGGACAATGTCCGGCCAAGATGACCATTTGTCCGGACAAACTTTCGGTTCGCCGGTCATCTTGACCTGACACGTTAATAAGCCACAAGAAAAGAAAAAAATACACTTTCAAACCATTAGGTTTCAAGAGAACAAGCGTCTTTTTTCACATTATGTTTTTGCTTATTAGGTTAGTGCGTTCGAGTTATTATTGTGTTTTCTTTTAATATTTTGAACGGTCGGAAGAGAGACGTGACCAAGCTAAAACTTGTTTGGTCGGTCAACACGACCAGCATCGGTCCCAAAAATGTTTTGAGCCCTGCAAGACCAAAGCGAATACCGGCAAAGAAAGAACAACTGTTTGCATTGAGGAAAGCCAACCGGGTAGATTTCATGCTCAGAAGGCAATGCTCTTATATTTTATAACTCACCCACAGTGTTTCTCCGATGAAACCGGCGTCTTCTCTCATCCTTTTTCCCTTCCTCTGAAAGTTTTCTTTTTCTTGGCACTCTGTCGGCTGATTTGTTTTCATTAGCTCCCTCTGATTCCGTAAAAAGATTCCGTCTCACCAATTTCACCGGTGTTTTTTGGCCCTTAGCGGTTTTCTCCTGCTTCTTGCTTTCTCCTATAAAGTGAGTAATTCATTGTGTTCAATGAAACGTAAGGTAGTCACTGTTCATAAAAATAGGAGACATCTCCACTAAAGAAACCAAAGACGCAAAAACGCTGTCTTGAAAATTATGTACTAGTTATTCCTTTCGTTCTTTTCTTAAAGGAGCGAAATATGAATCCCGAGTCATCTTCAGTACTCAGTGACTATTTTTGAATCCCCCTATGAAAATTTTGCACTTGGTATTGTTTTCAGGTGCTGTTGGGAATATGCAGACCTCCCAGGAGCATTTAAAAACACTGAATAGTTTATGCAAAAAAGGGAGAGGCAAACGGAGTGTTTTACGGAGTATTAGAAAACAAAGAATGACAGCGTACTCCAAAGGTCGTCCTCTTTTCAGAGATGGTCGATGGCTGGTTCCCTTCGTTAAAAGAACACAAGTGTTACGGGGGATTTTAACGCGCAAGCAGTGTTTGCTCGCTACAGGCTACAAGTTACTGGGTTTCCCTTGCTTAACAGTGCAATCGGCCTCGGACAGCAAGATATATTTTCTTTTTAAGTGTCTTGTGCCAGAAAGTGTAACACTACACATGTACAAGTATTTAGCTAACGCTTCGGCAATTTAACATAGTTTTCAAACCTCTTGCAATATTATTCCCTTGTGACTTTTCCTTCTTTTTCTTATCTTTTTCTTTAGGTTTCGCTCTTGCAGGCACCACGATTTCTCTTCTTTTCCCAGCCACATCAGAAATACTCATATGTCGGGTCAGAACACGACATCCGCTGCTCCTAAAGTAAACTTTATCAATCAATTGATAGCTTTTGTTAAAAAGAGGTTTAAAGGCTTGTTTATGGTACTAGTGCAGGGTGCACTTTGCTTATCCAGCTAGTTTACAGGTCCCCTCTGATTTGGTCATTGATTGAAATAATTTAGGAACAGGGGGCAGAAGAATACAATAGACTTCAGTCAGTTTCAAAACTTGTGTCTGTTGAACGCCTGATTTAGCCTAGCGGAATTTACTTCAAGAGTTTTTATTTCTTTTGACCCTTTTTTACCGGAGCGTAGCTTCCCTTGTATTCCCCTTTACCTGTAAAGGTGCACTAAGTTACCTTGGTTGACTTGAGTCCTGTTTCGCACTGGAGACAGAGTTAACAGAGCGTCTGACAGGCGACTCCTCATCACTTGACCATCTGGACGGCGACAACACCTCTCTTGGCGGGCGCATCATCAGTCCCTCATAGACACCACACAAGAACTTAGGAAGACTACGGCTGTACCTGTGGGAGGGGAGGGTCAAAAGGTACATAACAACAAAGTACACTTCAGTTTCAAATGACAACAGAGAGCAGTTTAACATATTGGAACAGAAGACAGGGTGCCTTTCATTATGCCCGACTGACCTGTCAGAGACCAGTGGAAAAGGAAAGCGTTTTCAAGCATCTATGTTTTGCCCGAAATTTTGGTTACTTCATAGTGAAATGGGACTGAAAACAAGCATTTCTTAATAATGGTTAGTTTCAATCGGGTCAACCATGCGGCCAAAGTTTGGCAAAGTGGATGGTCTGCGGAGGTCGGTATTTTTTTTCCGCAAAATTCCCACCTGGACTAAGTTGTCCCATTGCTATTTGAAATGAAACGCTGTTTGGATCCACTGACATCAGTTTTCTATAAAATGCTCTAAATTAACTTAAATCTGACATTCAAGATTTCCTTGGCTCAAGATTTCCTTGGCATGAAACCTAAGTAAACTGCAACAGCACGACTATTTTAGAAATTTAACTGTCCAGTAATAATTTTACTTATAATAGCGTAACAAGTACCTCAGGACTGCTGCGAGGGAAAGAGGAAAAAGATAAACTTGACCCAGAAGAAAAATAACAATATTACCTGTTGAGAAGTACCTCACGTAGGTACAAAGTAAGGAAATTCGGATCTTTCACGAACGAGATTGTTCGCAACAGTACAGTCACCTGCATTGGTAAAGAGACACAAAACAGGTTATGGTACATTGTAGATAGAGCAGTAAGCAAATACGTGCCAATTCCCTAGTTGCTAACAAACCAGTCATTTTAAGTCTTTGAAATTTCACCAAGTTTGTCTACAAACTGAAGGTGCGCGCGATTGATATTCTGGAATAAGAATACGCAGAAATTTGGGACAAATCTCTTTGATCTCTTTATTCCATCATGAATTCTTATTCCACAATATGGCCAATCAAGAGACGCGCCTTTCAAAAAATATGGCACGAATCGACATGTATGTAGTTTCAGATTTTTATGGTGTGGACATTGCGACAGCTAACGGAAATAAATAAAAAACGATTTAGAAGTAGCACATCCAAGCACTAGTTCTTCTTCTACCATATATTCCTGGTCGAATTGGAATTTGGAAATGTTGTTTGAAAAATTTCGATGAATAGCCGAAGTGTATAATACCAGAAACCCATAAGGGGTTGAAACGTGTAACTCGCGTTCAATGCTCGTGAATATTCATTTTGACCATATTTGGAAACCTTAGTGACGGATATCCATTTTCAACAAAATGGCTACTGTGCGATCACCATGCAGATGTTTTAAGACAAGAGTTCTGCATTTCAAGGTTAAAAATACACCATTAAAAGACAAAAAAAGGAAAGAGAAAGTTCAAAAGAATGCTCAGCTTTCTTTTTGTGGAGAAAGGGAAGCTTTTCATCAAGAAATCGTCCTTTGAGGAATTCAACCTTGTTTTCTTCACGGCGGAGCCCATGGTCTGTTTTAAAATGCAACCAAGTTAGCGAAGTTTTTGCTGAATTTTCAGGTACATTTTGCACTCAGTGGCCGAGACAATTACGTTTTTGAAAGGGAATTTATGTATTTTTAAATGTTTCATAGACGTTTTATAAATTTTTCTCTTCGGCGCTAAAGAAAAATTACAAAATGTGCCCTGATTTTAGATGGATTTTGTGAAGAATTTTGCCATGTTCTTGGCCGATTTCACTTGCGTGAACGGATCCACGATCCAGCTAGTGTTTTCCGAATTGCTTTAAAGGATTAACTTTTTGGACTTTGAATAAAAATTTTCAAGAAACGGCTTCTCTGTCTATTGTTTTGAGTTTTTTCATTCATAAAATTAGTTCAAAACACGATCGTGACTACAACATCTAAGTTTAATTTAAGCTTTTAAAATGCTTCTCACATTCATTACAAGCATCACTTTTTGCGAAGATGTCAGGTTCAGGTTTTGGACACTTTTCGATAAGCAGCTAATGAATTTTATGCCAAAATATTTTTCACTGTTTATTCTAGACTTTTAACATAAGAATTTTAAAAGCCTATTTGCAGTATAAGTTTACTGTGCAGAGGGTCAACGAGGCATCGTTTTTTGAAGTGACAACTTCAAGAAATTGCGAGGCAGTCAGTGGGTTTCATAATGTTACCTTTGGCCCGGGTGGTAAGGTAATAATATCCTGCTCAGTGTTTCGGTAATATTCCTGGTTTCAACCTTTGAAAGCTTTCTCGGCTTTCGGGAGTTTTTCTCCCGTTTGTCGGCAATTTTTTTAAGCGGGCGCGGGAACCTGAAGGAAAATTACGTCACGTTGTTTACGAAATTTGATTGGTCAGTTATCTCTTCTTCTCGTTCCAAATATGGTTTTTTCGAAAATGAATAATCACGAGCATCGGACAAAGCAAACATATGAGAGTTACACGTTTCAACCCCTTATGAGTTTCGGATAATACTCATTACTATATATGTTTCTAAGTTATGATAATTAAAATGTGTAACCTCTTCAGCAAGGGCACTATTTTCGTCAGCATTTACAAGGACTGCTATCTCTGTCCGAAGAAGGATTTGTAACTGATACCTAAAAGAAAAATGTTATGTTAAAGAGAGTTTTTATCGTCCGGCTGAGACAACTGTTGCCTTGAATAGGAGTGGACTGTTGACAGGCAGTGACTACTGAAGTTTGACAAACTCTGCATTAGTTATCTCCAGAGTCAAAATTTTATTGGTCTGTCAGTTAACCCGTGATATTATTGGCTATGAAGAATTGAAATGTGAAAGAGGTGATGGATGCAGACAAGAAAAAACTAAATAAAACACTCAGTTGAAGTTTTAAGGAAGCGATGTGTCTTATGACGAATTATAATAATATGAACGAAGAAAATCACCTATATTTCTGTTCTTGGGGCATGGAAACAAAAATTCCGGTAAGTAAAGTAAGTAAGAAAAACCAGCCAGTAACGTTGGTATATCAGATTTATTTCATTCTGAATTCAACACGGCTGAACTAGAGTTAAATAATTCTACTATCTCGTACTCCCAGGCCGACAACTCCCACTTAATTATATGTAGGGAGCTAAAGTAAAAAACAAAAGAATGATGCGGACACAAGGTCCCCACTTTTTGGATTTTTAGGGGCCAAAACTTAAGGGAAAATAGCACACTGAAAAGTTTTTACAAGTCTAAATTTGCTATAGGATGTGTAGATTTCAGCAGTGTAATTGACATGCAATAAAACGTATTAAAAAACACGGGACAAAGCACAGTGTAGAAGATAAAAGTTTGAATTACATCCTTATCTTATGTAGTAGTTTCTACCGGCTGTAGATCTCTAGACATATAAACACCACTGGTTGGGTTTGTCATTTGGCATTTTGTTAAGTTTGCACCTCTGCGTTAATAGCTTATATGCAACTTACTCTCTAACTTGCTGTTCTTTTCTTAGGATAGCATCACACCCTTCATATTTTTCTCTCAGTTTCGATATTGTTTGGAGCACGTTTTCCTTCAAAAACTGTGAAACATTATCCTGAAACAAAGTAGCAAGACAACATGTAAGTAACAAAATAGCCTGTTCACAGAACCGTCTATTTTCTCTAGAGAGATCGTCGAGCGCGTGTATGAATATAAAAACCGCGGGGATTTATTTACCGCAAGCACAAGGGGGTAGGGGTGGTGAAAGGAGGAAAGAAATAACAGATCTTTCTTTGAAACCCTCAGCATCGTTGTTTCACAACATAAACAAAAAACACATAAACATGATGTCCAAAGTGAAGTAACCATTTACACGTTACCTTCTGTCTGTCTTTATCATCATTTTGATAAAACTTAGAAAGAGCTGTCATTATATTGCTGACTTCTGTGGGAATAATTACTCCCTAAACAGGTTGAAAAGTAAGAAAAAACAGCACGGATCAGAGTTTGACATTAATTTTTACTTAACCCATTCGCTCCTGGAAATTTTGCTTACAAAAAAGCGTTTTGAAGTTAGTGTCGAACCATTTTGCGGTCACTCTCTAGCTATAAACAGCCAAAACTGCCCAAAACACCGTTTACAGGTCGAGCACTTCGCGGCTTTTTTCAAGACGTAAAAGATCAGCTTCAGAATTTTGGGCATCCGCAAAAAGCAAACTTTCGATTCTTGACTCTTACCTTACTTTTCATTTTCTCCCTTCTCCTTTTCTTTCGCTTTTCTAAACCTGTTTTTCTTTTTCTGAGCATTTACTAGCCTTTATTTCGATGAGAATAGTCTATGGGAAAGCTTTCAGGAATGTAAGATTAGATGGGAGGAAGTGCGAGTGTCAGGTGGAACAAGCTTTTCATCACAGTTTCAAGACTGAAAAAGTATAAATTAGCCCACTAACCCTAAATCACGTAGCCATAAGCTGTAAGTAGTGATGCAGGGATAGGACACTAAAATATATATAAAATTCTATCATTCAAATTTTGCTACTCTACTCTGAGACAATCAGTATTCTTACTGGTCATAATTTTACCCCTGATTAGCACGCACATTAAACTTGGCGGCTTTTGTCTGCTGGAGCTCCCAAGAAGCAAATCTTCATTTTCTCGTTTACGTGAAGTTTCTACTGCTCCTAAATGAGTACGTGGACCTCCCAATTAAATAGAACATAAACAAACAATCGGTAAAGTTTAACAAAAATCTCACTATTTCACTAGTTAATAATGTAATGACCTCTCGGCGGGGAGTGTAACTTGGGTCAATTTTTACTGGGTATGTGCCGCTGGCCTCTAATAGCCCCTACCCCATTAGACTCCATCTTAGTAACTTTTGGGAAAATCTAATTTTTGCAATACCGGTGTATTCACTTTCTGTTTATGCATTTACCCCATAAAGCCTTTCACAACCCCATTTTTGTGAATGTAGTCATGTAAATGCGATCACATCCAGCAGCATATCCTCAATATTAGCCTTTTACTGGGAAGTAGCTTCCCCAGCAATGACCTTAACTTTGCATTGGGCTTCTTTTGCAGGTATGGGTGTGTGTGTAACTGAAGGTGTTAGGATTAGGGTTAGGGTTCAAGTTACAGCACCTTAGTCATACCTGTACACCTCCAATTTGCTGAATACCCCCTATTTAATATACGAAGGGTTTCCTGAAAAAAGGGTGTAATTTGCTTATCAGTGATAAGCAAATTATGCCTTTTTTCAGGAATCCCTTCTATTATATCTTCCAAAATCGTTAAAATTGCTTGCTTCAAGGAAAATTTACATATACCACTAATCAAAATTGCTGAAAAGTTACAACAAATATAGAGTGTATACAGAAGTTTTAACCCATTCGCTCCTGGAGATTTTGCCGAAAAACGCGTTTTGAAGCTAGTCGAGTGGTTTTCTGGTCACTGTTGTGCTATAAAGAGCTAAAACTTACCACAAACCGCTTTACAGGTCGTACACTTCGCGGCCTTCTGATCCAGATGCAAAATATCAGCTTGCGAAGTTCGAGCATGCGCAGAAAGCAAAATTTCGACAGTTTTTGGGTTTAAAAGTGACACAGCAGTCTTGACTTTTACTTTTCGCTTTCTCTCCTCCCCTTTTTTTTCGCTTGTTTTGCCTCATTTTTTTTCTTCTCTTGCTGGGCATTTAGTAGGCTTCATTTTGGTGGGAATACTTTTTAGGAAAGCTTTTAGGATCTTAGGATTAGGTGAAAGGAAAGGTAGGTGGGCAATGGAACAAGATTTTCATGGAGATTTTCAGGTCAATGTTACATGGTTTTTTGCCTCTTTCTCCGGTTTCCTTGACTGAATTGTGCTCATTCTGGTATGGTTTGAAAGATCTCTTCACTCTGCACAAGTTAGCGGACAAAGTTGTCCTTGACTGTTAAAACTGATGACGTCACAAAGGGTGGAAAGGACGTGGATCCGCACGGGCGGTTACGGGCGGTTCAGGGGCGAATGGGTTAAGATACAATGTACATTATAAACCCTGGTGCTTCATTCACCCAGGTTGAGAGTACTACACTGTACTTGTAAGGTAATTCATAACTGTGTTGTTTATTTCTTACCTCAAAAATAACTTTGTTACATATACCATCAATGGTTTTAACCAGCTCAACTTCATCTACAAAAAGTACACGTCAAAAATTTCTCAGAATAAAAGTAATGATAACAGCAATCAGTATTTCTTTTCTCAAGATAATCATTAAGACTACACCGCATGCATTGTACAAACAACAATTTTAATGCGTAATTGTATAAATGCAGTTTTAACCCTTCATATAGGCTTAACTGTATTTTTGTCACATTACCCCAGTTAAAAAGGTCAACCACATTTGCAAAGACGGTTTACAAGATATATAGCTGACCTTTAGACCAGTCACTACACAGTCAAAATTCCTGATATATTATGTTCATTTAAGGTGCTCACAGTTTTCAGACTTTGACAGTAAGTAAATGAAACTCTCAAAAATGTATCTAGCAATACGCACCTGCTATACATGTAGCTGCTAGGGCACAAAATGATTGGCAGATATTCAACTACACTAGAACCTCCATATAACGAACAAGGGCCAAGAGACTGGTAAAATTTGTTTGCTGTAACAATGTTTCGTTATATCAAGGTTCTTTTTCATATAGTTATTTTACTATTACTGGAGTAAAAAGAATAATCATTCGTCATACCAAGAACTTTGTTATATAGACTAGGAAGTTCATTAAATTGAGGTCCCACTGCAATATACAGTGTAAGTGGTTGAAGGCGACAACTAATTTTATCACAAGCTGTATGTCCCTATGGCACATATGGTTTGATTGGAGTGTCTACCCTTTACAATGTAGCTATAGTATATACCAGCACCTTTTGTTTCCTCTGGGGGCTCCTCCATTTCATTGGTATCACCTGTCATATTGACTTCCCCAGTGACATCACAGTTGTTACCTGATAATTCTATATTCCCCTCAGCAAAAGGTTGTGTTATGTTTTGATCAGGTATAGCACCTTCCTGGTCAACTTTCTCTGTTTCCTCCATCACATTTGCACTATCAAAACAAAAGCAATTAATTACTTATTTATTTCCCATTTCTTGGGCATCTACTAGTCCCATACTGCAATAAAATGAAGAGGGTATATTAAATTATAAAAAGCTCCTTTTAATAACATACAGTAAAAGCAGGAGAAACGTTTTACCAAGTTTATCAACTACATGTATGTGCATGTACTCTTGTTTTTGCCTTTGTAAATAAATTTATACAGTAATGACCAATAATTTTTGTTAGCTTTAGGGAAGGGCTTTAATGATCATTCATTCCTGCAGAAGGGCAAAGCTATTACAGTTCTAGACAAAAAAAATTGCAGATGCCAAGATGAAGTCCACTCTGACCACAAGATAAATGTCACAGTAGCCCTGAGTTTGTAATCATTTACAATACATTCTATTATTGAACTATCTCTCATCTTTCATCCCAAACAAATAATTTTCGGTAAAATGTAACTGTAGAAATGTAAAATGTAACTTCGTCCTGTTGGATAACTACATTTTGTATGATTAAAATGTCCATTGTGTTAAGATTTTTAAACAAAAGTCCATCAAAACCTTACCTTAGCTTCGGCATATCTTGTTTCAATTTTAATTTCTTTGGAGTAGCTAATTTTTCCTTTTTATGCCTCGGTGATCTTCTTTCTCTAAGGACCAACGATTTCTGCTTTTCTTCTTTATTGCTGTAAAGAATCTTTAGTTGTTTCATAAGAGTTGCCTCGTTGCTCTCATCATCACCTTCTTCTTCTGATTCATTGTCTGACCTGTGAATATTATATTCACTGATAAATTGTTTTAAACTTCACAAAATAATGCCTCACTTGTTTAAAAAAATGGTGGAAATTAACACAGCCAGTAGAGAGAGCCTTGCCATCAATGCTTAGTTCTCTTGCTCTAATTACTTACAGTTACATTGTGTAACAACCGTACAGGTGTAGACTTACTTCTATGCACAAGGTATCTAACAGAATGTGGACCTTAGGTCCCAAATTATGTCATGGTCTTAAGGATGAAATTAGAACTTCTTGTAATAACTGGCTAAAGGGTCCTTATCTTACATCAATTGGCAGAGCGAAACACTCATCATCTGACCAACAAACCTGAGGCTGAACTCATCCCACACTCCATCTCTTCATTAGTGCTCCTTTTACAAGTATTTTATGCTACTTAAAGCTACTGTACTGTACTGTACTGTAAAATGAAAGGTACATATTTAAGAAGTCAAAACAAGGATTTGAGGTCACACCTAGGAATTGACCCCTGGACCTTTTGCACAGAATGCCACACACTGGCCAACTGTGTCAATCCTTCCCCCTCAATCCATAATCTCAGTCTACATGTAAGTCTAATCTTGCTTGCAAGACTGTGTTTTTATCCTCTTTACAACTAGCTGTTGTAAAGCTTCTGTTCAATTGTTACTCACCCTCTTGATTCTCCCCAACCTAAGCCATCCTTACTATCAAAAACAGGAAAACATATCCATGGATCAAGAAGCCCAGCTTCATATTGTCTTTCTTCATTTGCTTCAGCATCTACAAGAGGTTAATCAATGAGAATTGTGGTCATTCGATAAGTACTTAAAAATTCCCTTCTCCTGATTGGCGTGAGCCACACCATACTGTGTAGTTTAAGAAATAGACATACACACTTTATTTTATGTGGTAAAGATGGTTAATCATATGGCCAGTTTACAGATATCCAATGGGTAAAATTACACGTAAGGCAAAATCAGAATACAAAATTTGAATTACTAACTGCAAAGATTACGAATTAGCGATGATGTTATAATAATTTAAAACACATAAACCTGAAATTATGATTTAAAAACAAAAGTCTTAGTAACAAAAGTTTAACCACAAACCCTGCTAACAAACACATCAGTTCCAGCTAATGCACACAAATTGTCAGGTACATGTAGTTGTAACATGTCTTGTTTCACAGACCAATAATACGAAAAAACAAGCACATAACACCTGACTATAAGCAGCTTTGAAAATGATTTTGCTTCCAACAAGGGTACTTTAAATATATTAAAAGTATTATTAACACATCCATTTACCTTGCTGACTTGTTTCAGATCTGGGAACAGTAAAAAAAACTTCACTTGGCTTAGCAGCTTGTCCAGCTATCTTGCATCCATTGAGAAGTTTGCTTGAAGCTTCTAAGCCTCCAGCATTCTCTTTGTCAAACAGAGCAGTTTTGTCATCCCAGAGAAGAAACTTTTCAAACATCACAAGAAATTCTGAGGAGATGACACTTATTACTCCACAGATGGAAGTTAAAGGCTGTAGGACACCACTCACTGGTAAACCACTGTCACAGTCAATGAAATCAATAACCTGTTAAATAAAATACACATAAAAATAGGAATTAAAAAACAACTAAAATGCATTACTTTCTTGTTGCCTATTCACCTCCTTCAAAGCTACAGCAAGCTGCCTGTCACAGTCATAAACTGAAGGAGAGAGGATACGTTCCTTTGGGATGATCTAATCAAGCAAGCTATTTCCGAAATACATGAAGAAGGTGACAAAGTTCGGTTTGGAAGTTTTAACAGGTAAAGCTTTGTCTTTTTTGCAAATTAAGCTTAAGTCTTGTGTTACTTTATTTAGTTGACTTGTTCATAAATAAGCTTAAAACTAAATTTAATAATCTTTTTTACAGAATTATTTTAAGTACAAACAGAATTCACAACTCCTTTTTGAAGAAACTTTCCCGCAAGAGCTAAACAAACGCCTTCAAAAGTTTTATTTGTCACTAAGAAAAAGCGACGACCCGGGCCATTTGGTCATTGCACGGCAAAATTGTAATCGTTAGCAACAGTAAATGAGTTAAAAATCATCATTTTGTGCTCAATTATCTCACTGTTTTAGTATGTACTAAAACAATTATTCACCTCAGTGTCGGTGGCTAGTAGTGGATATTTACCTCGCCGCTTCGCGGTCTCAGAAAATATCCACTAAAAGCCACCTCCACTTCGGTGAATAATTGTTATATATTCACCAGCTGGAAGTTCGGATTCGTTTTCGATCCTCGGCTTCATGAACCACCCTAGATCAAGCCACACAAAGTTTTACAGTCATGATTAATACAGTCTACAATTTATTAGTGAATAATAATAGGGGGAGGGGAGGGGGCTTAGTAACTAACTTCCCTCATGGCATATAAGAGAAGGAGAGCTTATTTGAGAGGGGGAACTTAATAGAGGATTTTGGTAAGTTAAATGTTTTAGATACCAGAAGTTTGTTGCCTTTTGCCAAGGAAAGTAAGAGTTCTTGAAACCACCCAGAGAGGGGTCTCATGGACGATGAGGCAGAGTTTGTTGACTCATAACTCTGTGTACAATCCAAACCAATACATGTGTATGCTTTCAAAGGATGCAGCCATGTTGGGCAAATACTACTGTGATTTATCACTCCTCTGATCCACAATAGAGTGGGAAAGTGAAATGTTTCAGTAGCGTTGTTTGCACTTAAACTGTTGGTTGGCCCATCATTAAGAACATTAGCAACTTCCTGAAAGCTTCTTGAGTTTGGCTGAACTGATGCGGGCTTGAACATGGAGTTCAGTAGCACAGAACAGTGGATTTTATCATCAATGCCTATACACAAAATTAAAAAATAGAAATCCAAATAAACACAAACAGTTTTATGTACATGTGTTGGTTTGAATCATGACTCATTATCTGAACTGTCAAGTGTTTCCTTTGATTTACAAGCATTTTATAAGGATAGTTCCCAGCAGGGTTTCTTTGACCAAACATCTCCTCAATCCAGCAATCCTGACAGATCCTGAACAGGATAATAATTATTACACTGTATGCATTTTTTGTCCCTTATCATAAGGGGTCACTGGATGGCATTAACAGCTCATCAATTCAGACATTACTGAGGGAGTATAAGCACCTTGAAGTAATGACTGAAATTCAGGCTACATGTAATTTCAGTTATATCAAAAACAGTTATCATTTAAGCAAAGGAGTTGATTGTTTGTACAAAATACCCACTTTGCTAAGAGAAAAATAATTAATGCAACTATTCAACACCCATTAACCGGGCTTCTGATAGGTCACGGATAAAAAAGTCAAATTTTTGCGGGATTTTCAGGGACAAATTCGTGGAAAAATCGGTCAATTTTGCGGGATTTTCGCAGTAATTTATGGGGTAAACTTCGCCGAGAAACAATCATTAAAATACGTCTGATTTTGTGGGAATTTTCTGGGCAAATTTTGCTAAGAATCGATCGGTTTTGCAATAATCCGACCAGTATTTTTGACGTTTTTTTAAACAGAGATAACCATTCACTCTTTCAACAATACCATCGAGAAATGAACCAATGGCAAAGTTTTCTAAATCATGGCTAGTGCCCAGTTTTTCGCAACATAATCTACGCCTGGTAGTTTTGGGACATTGTTTGCTCATTTCTGTGATGAAGTTTCAAGTTAAATTTGCAAGTTTACAGCAAGTAAACAGCCCTAATTAATAGCCAAGATTAGTTTCAAATATGGTGTACAGACATGTTTTTGATATGATTTCTAGCAAATTTCACAGTATTTTGTGTGTTTTTGTGAATTTCACACAATTTCTCGCATTTACCTGAATTTTGTGGCCCTGTGACTGCGTGAAATATCAGAAGCCCTGCAGAGATGCAGGGATAGAGTTATTGCAGTAAAAAATAAATGCAATCCAAAATAATTTACCTGATGAACACATTAATGCTGTAGTTCCTGAATGAGTCGTCTTCCCTTCAAAATGATACTGAGTGAGGTTAAAATCTGAAGACTTTCTAGTCTTTCCAGCCAAGAAGAAATCCATAACAGTTTTAGAAGCAAATAAAGGTCCGCTAGTACAAAAGGTCTTCTTAACTTCATGACAAGAGGATTGGTTCTGGGAAACTGAATCAGTACCAAGCGAGGAAAAACTACCACTAAAAATCACTGAAGAAAGAGGGATAACGCATCCACCAAGCTGTTCCACAAAAGATTCCAAAAGTGATATCATGTTTGTGTTCTATAAAATAGAATAGCATACATTTTAGTCACTGTATTGCTGGTTTTCAGCATCACGCCATTCAAAATAGATCAAAATAAAAATCAAAACCGTTCAACAGATAAAGTCCAGAATCTGGGAAATGAAAGCAGTTACATATACAAAGACCCTCGCCAAGAGTCAGGTCAGAGGAATATTTCATATACGAGATATCCGAGGAAATGTTTTACCCAAACGTATAGAGATTTGTATGGAGACGCCATGCTGGTGCTCACCTGGATGAGTTCCAACATGGTGGACGGGAACCAACAGAAACATCTGTTACCGAGTTTTGCTACAAAAGCGTGAATTTACTATTCGGGAAAATCATAACCATTAAAGTAATACTTTTTCTAATACATGAACTGTTTAGATAGAAAAATTTCCTGAAATAAGTCATTTTTTAACCTACATGACAGCTCTCTTTGCCCTCATGTCATTGTCACGTCACTCAAAAGCTTTGAAATTCAAGCGTACTCTATCACAAAACCACAAACTCTTTTGAAGCGAAAATTTGTATGAAAATTAGTTTTCAGCTGTTCTAATGCATCATGAAAGTAAAATCTCGGCAAGATTGATAAATTTTTAGTTTGAATTTTAGTGACATCATGTGAAAACCAACAATATGTATACAGTGTAGGTCAAAATTAGACTCAAGTAAATATTTTTCAAAAACCTAGGTTGATTCTCTGTATTCTTTGTCTCCTAGCCTTATAATATCCTTCATGAATAGGGCTAAGGAACAAAGAAAATTGGGAATCAACCTAGGTGAAAAAAATTTAACCTGAATTTATTTTTGACCTTTTACATAATACATTTGTATATATCATTGTACAATAGCTGCTAAGGGTTTTGGTGGGATCCTATGCTGTATTATGTACAGGCTGGTTATCACCACCAATTCACCACTTTAGAAATGAGAAGGAAACTGGGCTGAGTTAACATTCACAAAGACTTATGGGACTACAGTTACTAGGGACAGGTAAAATAATAGGCTCTTAGCATGACTTGATCAACTTTTGGTAAACACAAAAAACAGTTCACTTTTGAAAAATTTTGTTAGCACAAGCTGAAAGAGCATATATTAAAATTAGGTCAGCTGAGAATTTTCAGGCATATTATATCTCAAAAGTAGCGATTGCAACGGCCACCAAAAGTTAGAAGCATTTGTATGAGAAAAACAACTTTTGACATCCAGTCAAGCTTGCATGGCTTTCCATACAAATCCTTGTAATATTTTGAAATTTTCAAAACTTTCATCAAATATTTCCTTAAGCATTACAGGGTTCAAATCTCCTTTTAATTCATAACAGGCAATTTGAGCCCTTAAATGCGTAAGGGAAAGATTTAATGACAGTCTAAAAAGTTTAGAATTCACAAGGATTTGTACGTAAAACCATGCAAGCGTGACTGGGTGGCAAAAGTTGTTTTTCTCATACAAATGCTTCCAACTTTCAGTGGCAGTTACGATCGCTACATTTGAGATACATGGCTGAAAATTTTCAGGTTACTTAAATTATTTTAATATGCTCTTTCAGCTTGTCCTAACAAAATTTTTCAAAAGTGAACTGTTTTCCTGTTTACCGAAAGTTGATCACGTGATCAAGTAATGCAAAGAATGAAAGCCACATTTTCTTGAATGAAAAACACACTTTTTTGTACTCAATTTAGTCCAAGAATGCTGGAAATCACATTTTAGGGCTTTGAAATTTCAAAATTTTCAGAGGCAGCATGCCCTCAGAAACTGGATTAATGCAAAATTTTTGGATGACAACAAACTGAAAATTCACTTAAAAAGTAAATTTGAACTGTTCAAACCTCATCGATCTTATTCGATTTCATTTAATTTTTCATATTTTGGCAAAATTTTCTGGGTTGAATCCGAAACGACCATATCTGAGTTATGAGAGAGAAAAACAAACTTTTTGTGTTGTGTTCACCTACTCTGTAAAGCGGTGCCTGAAATTAGGAAGTTTAATGTCACAGTTGTGCAACAATGGTTAAAAAATGTACACAAAAATGTAATTCACTTGCAAAGTTGTTCTTTGGTAAATAATAAACCTATTGCTTTTTTCGCCATTCTCGTTACCCTCCCTGTCGTTGTCAGTCCCTTTTGTTGTGATCCAAAAATTTTGCTACCATGGTAATGTGACGTCACACTTCCCCTCTCTATTTACGTAGACGGAGAAAATGAGACTCTGCCTCAATTGCATCAAGCCTTTGAAATCGCTGCAGCTCAAACTTCTGGACTAGCCATCTTGTTTTCTCTCATCAAACAGTGTGAGCATCCATTTATTGATCAACAATTGGTCGTAAATGAGCTTGCTGTACCAAGCGCATGGCAATTAGGCCTTCATTCAACACGGTATCTTATCAACAAGCAACCCATGCTCAAGAAAGATCTCACTCAATTCACGCAGAGTTTTCCTCACACACACCAAAATCAAAATTGGCAAAGCGAGCTGACGTAAAACAAATAATAAACAAACATTATACACATTCAATACCTTCTGATACTGGTTATTTCCAGTGTTTATCCACTGCAAGGTAATGTGCCTGTCTTTAAATTCGTTGTTCAACACTGGGGGCATTAAAATGTTATTAAAACTTTCCAACGTTGGTAGTGAGGATGAATTTTCCCCCGTAAAGTATGAGATTGCAAATTCATCGCTAGGGCAACCACTCAACAGAAACATGACATTTTGCGTCTTTGATCTACAGTTGCCATGAAGCGATTCGGCATTATTTTCACGCGTTCTTCTTATGGGTGAACTTAAATCAGGTTTCTCCCACTGGAAATCGTGTACTGTATTGGTAAAAGCACAAGATATACATTTAGCTGCAGCTGGCGCTTTCTTACGTCTTGTCGATTCGTCTCCATCCTGAGAATTATGTTCAACAAGGCTTCCTTGCAAATCGTGGGCAAAGGATTCGGTTAATCTTTTACACACCAGAGTTTCAAACTCTTCAAAGACAGTCACAGTAAATTCCTTGAACTCGTGTCTTTCAAACCGATGTAAGAGTGATCTTGAACTGAAGAATTTGTATCCCCATCGAAGACTTGATCGTTTTCGTTTGCCATAATCAGCAAAATAAGTGAGAATTTTTAACACGCACAATCGAATGGCGCTCGCTGCCTCCACGGATGAAAAGTTAGATCCCCAAAACGAAGGATTCGAATCGATGAGGAATACAATTTGGTCGCAATCATCTTGAAAAACCTTGCGTGTCATAACTCTGTCTCAGATAGATCAAAGCATTTTGTTGAAGAGATGGAGTAAAGAAATCTTAGAAGATACTCAATTGCGTAAAAGTAAAACATCAAACCGACATTCATTGTGCAAACTAATAATGCACCGGGGGATGTGAATAGGAAATTTCCCGCCATCAGGTCACATGACGTTTGTATACTTTTCACGGGAACAGGCAGACCAATATTTCTAAATGTGTCACGACATTCACGAGACCTTTGAGGCCTCCCGAAGGTTCATAAGCACGGTTACCCTTTTCGCCCCATATTGTTTCTTTTGTAAACACTTATAACAGGCTTTCAATATCAGTTACGAAGCATGAGGCCCGCGAGTAGCGTAAGTAGGCGCTTGTCCAGGCGAGCACAAGTTCAGTCTCTGTCAGTGAACTTTAGTGGGAAGCCACCAACTTCCTTTCCCCGCCGGTGCTCCTTTTTACTAAATTATAGGGAAGGAGAATACTGTCTATGTCGAAAGAGATTTTAAAAGAATTGAATAGACCCTCCTAACTTCCTGTAAAATCGGGGCAAACATGTTTAGGCAAGAACCTTCTTTCGAAAGTGAAAGAAAAGTTTAGTAAGAAAGGGAGATCTTTTATACAAAAGATATTTAAACCACGTGAAGTGAACTAAAGGTCAAGTTGCACGTAACAAGCCAAAAAAAGGAAACAGAAAAATTTCTTTCCTTCTGCAGCAGATCGTATTAAAAGAATCTGACAAAACTAAGATTAAAAAAATACATATATAACTAGTGGACCCTAGTGCGTTCTTGTATACATGTTGTATAGTTTTGTAGTCCGAAATGACCTTTCAGTTTTTTGGACCTATTTATCGTAATTATATTTCTCGGAAAATTATTATGACATTTTAAAAACACGAGATAATCGTCTGAATATGATGACGGTGATAGCATATCGGACAAATCGGATTTTTTTAATCCGGCTTCCGCTTTCCATAAAGTCGATGAGTTTTGTCGGATAAAACTGTCCGTGATAAGGAGCTTTGATTAAGGGACGCAACGAAAGGGGCCAAGAAGTTGAAGTGTAGTCTTATGTAAATTATTTTTAACAAAAAACATTTGTTGAAAGCGAAACTAACAACCAGCTAACTGGAACGAACTCTAACAGCGCTGGAACGGCACAAGGACCGTTTATGAAACCAAAATATATCGCGTGACAATCACATGACGTTTTTCTTTGCTTTTAAAACGGAAAAGGTATCGAAAAATCTTTAATACCATGATGGCGTTCAGTAGCGGGTTATACCTTTTTGTGCTGCTGCCTTGTGCTTATTACTGTGATGTTATTGTCGCCGAAAATACCTCTTTATTTAATTACCCTGTTGGTGATCCACGAAACTGCCCTTTAACGAGAGGAGTTTTCCGTTTCGAGGTTCTTCCGGGAGGCGGATGGGACAACCTAAGAAATGTGCACATGGGAGCTGTTTCTGTGACGAATAACTACTCGGAGTGTAAAACCTCTGACGATGGCAAGTATTTGATCCCTGATGATGTTTTTCTTTATCCTGTAAAGAAAAGCAAAGTTGAAACGTTCGCCGAACTTTACGATCACTGGAACAATTATTCTTCGACCACCACAAAATCTATCAACGCCGAAGCTTCGGGAAAGTTTAGGTTTGGTTCCATTGGCGGTTCGTTTTCAGCTGAGTTCGAATCAGTTAAGAAGCATCAAGTGGAAGACAAAGCTGTAACAACTCGAGTTCAAATGCGTCACGTCTTGTACACCGCCAAACTTCAACCAGATAGCGCTCTTCAGCCCGTGTTTAAATCCCGTCTCCTTGAAATCGCGTCCCATCTACAGCACAACAACACCGCCTATGCTAATTTTTTGGCGCAGATACTGGTTCGCGACTTCGGAACTCACTTTATCACTAGTGTCAATGCTGGTGCGGTTCTTTCCAAGGTAGACCACTTGACGAAAAAATTTGTTGCTGATTTTACAGAGGATAAGAGTAAAATCACCGCAGCCGCAAGCGCGTCCTTTTTTGGAGCCTTTGGCGCCAAGGTTAGCTACAGTCAGACGAGCGATAAACAGGATTTAGATCAGTACACGAAGAACACTGTTTACTCAACTGTGTATACATTTGGTGGGCCACCTTTCAGGGTTAACTTTACTATAAATCAATGGGAAGATCAATTGCTAGACGAGCTTGTAGCAGTTGACCGGTCAGGTGACCCGTTGAATTACGCTGTAACCCCCGGAAGTCTTCCTGAGATGTCGGAGGAGTTAACTTTTAAATTGGCTGACGTCGTTGAAAACGCTATAAAGCAATACTATAAGCACAACACTATCAAGGGATGTACGAAAATGGACTCGCCTGACTTCAGTTTTCAAGCTAATCTCGATGATGGATCTTGTGAAAGTCCGACAAACAATTACACTTTCGGTGGCGTATATCAAACGTGCTCATTCGCTGGGTCTCCGGCAGGTAATCCGTGTGGGCCCCTCCTTCAAAAGAACCCACTTACTGCTGATTATAAATGCAGAGATGAGTATGAGCCTGTATTGGTTCATCAGGGACGCACTCCTCAAAGCTGCCACAGAGACTGTCACAGCTGCTGGCTTTTCTTTAGCTGCTGCAATACAAACTGTGGGTACGCCAGCTATTCGACTTACTGGTGTGTAGCGAAGGGCAAGGTACCTGCCAACACAGGATATCTTTTTGGGGGGCTGTACAGCAAGGTGTTGAAGAATCCAGTCACACAAGATCACAGCTGCCCACTGAAGTTTTATGCCCTGCGTTTTGGAGCTACAATGCAAGTATGCGTAAGTGATGACTATGAACTTGGCTTTCAGAGTTCGGTTCCGTTTGGTGGTTTCTTCAGCTGCAGTGCCGGTAATCCTCTGGGCGTCAAAAAGTCTTCAGACAGTGTAAAACAAGGTAATTAACAAGTCATGTTAAATGATTGAGTTCCTTTAAGAAACTTTATCCTTTAGTATGTTCCTCGTTAAACACTGCCGCCAGCAGGATATGATTTATAGCTGCCAGAAGAAAAAATCTGGCGGGCAAGAACTCAATTTGACGCACAAACATGTCACTCATTAGAGACTTGCTTAACTTTAAAAAGGATGCGATCGCGAGCAGCCCTCAAGAAGCCAGCTGCCAATAAAAAAAAGCCAGTAGCTACCCCGTATCCTTCCCATAACGCCACGCGTGCTGTCTAAGAACCAGCTGTAACGATGATAAGGGTTCCATTGAGCTCCAAACGTCTGAGCGTTTTTCATTTTCAGTATTTAATGGAATTTTACTCCCAGGTAAATCTATTTTCGCAAATGGTGCTGGTAATTCTTCAGTTTCAGTTCTCAAATGCTTAGAACAATCAAGGTAACTTTCACAACGTTCAGTAAATTCACGGTGTATTATCACGATCTTTGACACAAGATGTATACTGTTTATACATTATTGACCAAGATTGTTATATCAAGATTAGGCTTTTGTACATTATGCTAGCATTTTTTCGAGCATTTTAGTGAGGCAAAAGCATTGAGCATTATTCGAGCATTTTAGTGGCATTTTCCCCGGGAAATTAATTTTTCTGAGAAAATATGATAGAAATTAACTTTTTTCAGGAGCCCATGCCCCGTGAGCTCCTGCTTTTTTAAACAAAATGAAGACTAGAATTCAAAATTCACAAAAAACCTAATACAGCTGGTTTTTTTGGCTGTATTTATGAACTACTTGCAACACTTGCACGTTTTTGTAAGTGTAAACTTTGAAATTAATTTTAAAAAACCGTTTGTATAATGAGCATTATCCGAGCATTTTAGAGACTTTTTTAGGGAGACCGAGCATTTTAGTGGGAAAAATGGAGCATTAAGGTGGAGCATTTTAGTAAAGAAGCAAAAGCATAATGTACAAAAGCCTAGTCAAGATTGCTGAATATTGGCCAAGCATAAGTTCCTTTTTGCGTATTTATGAACCGAGACGAACGGGTTGATAAAAACGCAAAGAGAAACGATGCCAACTTGTTTTGTTGCGGGACCGACACGGGAAATCCCGAGCAGGCAAGATGGGCCCTTCTTGCCTGCTCGGGTAGCCAATCAGAACAAAGGATTCTCTTTATCTTACCCGCTTGCGGATTCAGCCATATAATAATACAATATCAATCCCTTGACTTTGACCCCGGTACATAAGAAAAGCCGCCGCCGCCGCCGCCGCCGCCGCCGCCGCCGAAAAGACAGCTGTGACTAACTGGTCATTTTTTTTTTCAACAGGTGGTTCAAATTTGGAGATGTTTGTAAGCCAATCCGGTCCATCTGGTTGGCCGAAATCCTGTCCAACCGGTTATTCTCAACATCTGGGTGCCATCGAACAAGATTGCGAGATAAACTTTTGCGTGAAGTCTAATGTATTCAACAGCCAGGGGTTACCCATCATCAAGAGACCCCCCTATTCTGATGCGCCGAAAGTTCTCAATTACTCTGTGCCTATGCTGTTGGTTAACGAAGACAATGGTCAAATTTGGTTTAAACCCTCAGGAAATAAACCACAATGGTTGCTTGCGACGAAAAGGTAATGCTGATACTAAATTAAGTTTGTTAATACAGCTGTAGGTGGGGAGAGATATGCACTTCGGTCTTTTTAAGGTAAAAAAGTGCTGTTTTCGAGAGGAAACCCTTGAGACAAAAAAACTAAAATCGCTTCTCCCTATATTTATTTTATTGGACATCTCTATTTGAAACCTTTTATTTCCTTTTATTTTTCCCCAGCGGTTTTCGATTGTTCCCGTTCCAAAAACAACTCATGGTTTATGGCGATGTGCGCGCGATTATATGTTATATGCGCGCGTAAATCACTCAATATCGAGTGAATTTGTTCCGTTTGTTTGGTAAGCTGCGGATGAGTTACAATGGAGATTTTTTCCTATTCGGTTGCATTGATGATTAGAAACGAATACCGTCTCGAAATTTAGTTTTGTTTCTCATTGCGAACGGGTCTCAGGTTATGAAAATCTGGTAAAAGAATTCTATATATATGCCGAGGTGTTTACAGCTTACTTTTCATCTCATTAAAGCTCTTTTCGTTTTACTTAGCACCGTTGAAGCATATAGAAAACAGGTAAACCTGGAAGGTCCCGCCGTTATAGGAATAGCCACAGGCGACAAAGCTCCAGCTACATATGACAAACAGAAGTCTTCCCAGAGTTCCAGTCATGGCATGAATGCTGGGACAGCGGCTGGTATTACATTTGGCGTCACGGCATTGGCTGGATTATTGATTGCTGTCATGATGATTGGCTGGCGCCGTCATAAGAGCGTGAATAGACAAAGCAGTGACTTGAGGGAGCCACTGAACTCTCTCGGGAATTATGGTGCTGTCCATGATAAAGGGAGTCCCAGAGTTTGATTCAGTACAAAATCAGGATACATAGTGCCTTTCTCCTTCCTCCCGAAAATTCTTATCATTAAACAAAGAAATACAATACAAGCTTGAAAATAAGCGCGCGTTGGTCGATAGGAAGAGGGAAAGGGCTTTTGTAATGTTGTCCTCGCATTTTCTTTTACATACTCGCTTTTAAGCACATGGCGGGAGAAAACAAGCCTCTACAGAAGCCCACCTACCTATGCACAACGGTCTTCCGAGGAGACATTTAATTTAACTCGCTGATTTTGTTACACGATATGTTGTGCTTTGATTCGAAACTTTAATTGTTGTAAATATTCCCTTTTCATGTACGAATCGTACGTGAGTGGAATAGCTTAGCGGCTAATTTACTTAGGGTTGTTAACCTTTGATATTTTGTGATTTTTATGACATGTCAATAATTCCAAGTAAATTGTACGATGGGGTATTCCTGGTAGTAATTATTGTTAAAGTCATTTTTTCTATTAATAAAGAGGGTCTGAAATATTTAATTCCAGTTCTGCAGTGTTGATGCGAAGCTTAAACAACCAAACACAGTAGACGGAACGGCAAACGACAAACGGCCAACTGACGTTCGGGGTTCGCCGTTAGCGCGTTGCTACTGAATAAAACTTTGACAAAGCCCCAAGAACAACTCCTTGATAGCTTGTGCCTTTTTCTGGTCGTGCATATTGTGACTTGTCGACGGACCAAGAAGATCCAGGTGAAATTCTAGTTGTGTTAAAAATATAACATACACAAAGCAAGTCTGTCGTTAACAAACCGCTCAAGTTGTTTCATTTTCCTTTATACCCTGACTCACGGTCTACACACAAAAGAAATGACGTTAAAAATGTCCATTGCTTAAAAAGAATGCGAGTCAGTGGCGTTTACCCTTTTATTATCTTCACTTAGGTGTTCAGAGAGAACCCAGGAAAATGTTTTATCGTGTTCAACTCCGTGATCACCGAATAAAAGCTGGCCTAGAGTTCTTTTGCCCTTCTAACCATGAATTCATGGTTGTAACGGGACAGTTTTCCTACGTTACAGAAGGCGCCGGGTAGTACAGAAACATTGGTAAACCTACTGGATAATATAGCCAGTTAAATGACATTTTTACTTTGTTCCGCCATTTTTAACCTTTAGATTCTAAGGCGAGAACGACTATGAGGACGAAATTTTCTCAATACTAATATTAACTCACTAGTGCACGAATTAACCAGCGCCATTTCAACGGAAAATGGCAGTGGTGTGGCCGTCGGCTCAAAATCCTTCAACAAAAATTATCCTGGCATCTTTTCTGTTATAAAAGGACATTGAAAAGACTTCAAATTAAATCCCGGCCTTGTAGTCGTCCTCGAATCTAGAGGTCATTATGCAGTATCAAACCAAGGCCGCGCCTTCGAACAACTCCTCGCGCACTGAAATGTCAACTGCTTTATGACGCAAGCCGTACACGCGATCTTCTTAAACTGAAAATCAAAACGGTAATGGAAGCTCTTCCAAACGAGCTACTGTCCCATATTTTCGGGGTTTTGCATCCCATTTACGACAATTTAGCTCGTCTGTCGCTTGTATGTAAGCGGTGGAAGGCGGTCATCGAAGAAACACCTTCACTTTGGAAATGTATCCACTTCACGCGAGCGAATTGGAGTTATGGACATGCCCTGAAATGCCTGTTACAGCTCTACGAAATTTTCTGAAGGAGCATCAGACCATACAAAAACTCTCTCTCATTGGCGGACTGACGGGTCTTACCTTATATGGCTGTATGTGCCCTCATCTAAGCGAACTGAAAATTATGTTGTTTGAAGTTCAATGGTTTAAACTCGGAAGTATAAAGATCGACTGTCCTTCCTTAAAGCGTTTTTATTGCGATGGAAATAGGCGAAATCCTTTCACCAGAACTCCAGACGACGTTTCTGGATTTCCTCGTGGTCTGTCAACCTGCTCTATTTTCATACGAAGCGAAAGACTAAAATACGTGTGGATTAACTTGCCCAATGTGAGCACAATTAGCGTTAAATGTAAGCAGCTTGAAAATATGAATGTAACAATTGGTGAGGAAGCAGGCTGCCTTAAGGAGCCAATGGAGTTTGAAGTCATTGCTGACAACATAAATTGTCTCCACACAACGAACTGCAAGTTTTCACGCTATCATCTCCAAGCAACGGATATTGGGACAGTGACTCTGCGGCACTGCGAAATATACAGCGATGAATCAATACCACGGCTTATTGTTCATACAAAATCAATCATTAAGTTAACACTGGACAATTGTCACAATATGGAATTCGCAGACCTTCGTGTCAAACCTAAAAAAGCCGCTCGTCACGTGTATATTTACGATTGCGACCGTTTGCGAAACATTGCGATAACACGTACTGGAAAGTCACTTCCAAAAATTTCCATTGTTAAATGTAAGAATCTCCAAAGTGTCGCATCCGGAAAGCAAGATGACTTTTCAAACGTTTTTATCACTGATTGTCCTTTATTTAATATTTCCAAACGTTCGACAAAACTGTAAAAACAACTGCTTCACATTTGCTAAGAAAATGACTCACCTGACCAGCTAGGCGACCGGTTTGGGATACTTTGCTATGGTGTATTTGCTAGATCGTCTTGTAATAATGTGTACGTACGGGTTGTTATTGTGTGCTGATCGAGTTTGCTAATAAACACCAACGTCATCTTGTCTTTAGATTCTGTAAACGAATACATCCAGCAGCTTCAAATATTAAAAGTAATTTTGGAACAATTGAATTACTTAAAACACGAACAAATAGACACGCTTACAACGTTCTGCATGTAGGTGCGGACCTTGACCTCTTGAATTGTCCATCTCTTGTTCTTGCTGTTGTTGTCGTTGTTGTTCTTCTTCTTCCTCTTCTTCTTCTTCTTCTCTCTGTTAACAGTGTTCTGTTCGTTGAACTAACACAACAGAAAGAGGACTCTGCAAGTCTCCCTGGATAATTTACTACACTAAAAGGATATAACCCGCTGGATTGAGGGTAGCGGCCCAAAAAGTTACCTTTCTCTAGTCGTAGGAATACTGGGTATGGAAAGGTGCCTGTTCTAAGTTGTTTCAAAATTCGGATTCCTTTGCACTTCTGGTCCTGAAATATAAATTATTGTTAATAACAATAATTATAATTATAAATTATAATTTAATCACTTATATTGCGCAAGTATTTCTAAAAATGATCAAATGCGCATTATATTAGTAATAAAAGTATAAAAAACCTGTTTACAATGTGAAAAACAATAAGAATATATACATTACTACAATAAAACTCTAAAATATCGATATGTAACTAATTAAAATTCAGTTAACCATAAGCAAACTTAAAAAGCTGCGTCTTTAGTTGGCGTTTTAAAGTATGTAAGTACGGAAGGTCACGAAGCTCGCGCGGTTAAGCATTCTATAACTTGGGTGCAGCCACCTGGAAGGACCTTAACAGAGTAAAAGCTCTTGGCAGCTCTTGCTAGTCTACATGCAATCCGCTCCAAATAATAATAAAATAATACAAATTATCTATTAAAAAAATAATAGCTAAAAATCCTAACGGGCAAGGGATAATCGGTTGGCTGTTTTCAAGCATGACAGAGGCGTCGAACTGGGATCCACAAGAGACATCTTCAGCTTTTGGTGAGAAAGAGACTGGAACTCGAGATCACCAGTGTACTGACCACTCAGCCATTCTGCTCCCTGCACAGTCCAACCGACTTGGAGGGACATAATGCTCTGCGGTAAGAAAGCCTACTCGTCACTTTTCTCATGTGAACAATGGCTGCTCAAAGATCTTCTTATTCCATAATGGTGATGCCTTATTCAAAAATGGCCTTGACTTTTTAAGTTACTTTCACAGTAAAATTCTGGAACGCCCACGCGGAACATTACCCTCATCACTTTTGATTCAACTCCTTCCGCCAGTTAATTTTGTCACATTAATTGATGTGTTTTTTGAAAAATTAGCTTTTATGTTTGGTTGTTTGTTTATTGTTGTTGTTGTTTTTGTTTTGGTTTAGCTTCGTTTGAGTTCGGTTTCGTTTAAAAATGCAAAATCAGCTTTCATTCAGTTTACATTAGCTCATACAAACGGGCTGGAAAAAAAACGCTACTCTATAAAATCGAGGCTGAACAAAGTCTATGTACGGTTACATATAATTTATAAATTTATTTTCCACAAATATCAACATTAATGCGTTATTTCAAAAAACGCATTACAACGACTAAAAGGAAAACAATGAGAACACATAAATAATTACTAAAACTTCAAATGGACGGTGGAAGGCTTGTTATAGTTGCTTGTTGGGAGTATTTTTACATATGCATCACTGAGTTAAGTTAAAAACTTGTTTTAAAACCTTATAATTTATATAATAAACTCACTAGTTTTCGATAAGGTTAATACAGATAAGTGGGTCTAAGTTGAACCAAACTGCACTATGGGAAAACTATAGGACTGTTTCAGTGGACACATTTTGACCCAATCTCCTGTACAGCCTTGTAATAGCCTATAAAATAAGCTATGTCACCCTAAAACGCTGTTATTCATTACAATATCGAAACATTCAAATGTTCATAACTTAATTGTGAACTGAGTTTTTGCAGAGCGTAGCTACGTGGGGGGGGGGGGGGGGAGTCCCTGAAGGCCCCAGCCCCCTTTTTGGGGAGAGAGTGTTAAGTTTTTTTTTTTCTACTGGGGTGAAAAACCCCAAAACCAAAAAAAATCTTTTTTTTTTCGTGGCACCGAAAACAACAGGGGGCACATTTCTTTTGTTTTATGTTGAGAGATTGTTGTTGAGAGGATTTGAATGTTTCTGTTAACTAATAAAAAAACAAAGTTCCCACACATGTTATTATTTTAATAATAAAATCAATATAATAAATTTAAAAATTTTTATGTTTGGTGGGGGGGTGTTGGGGGGGGGGGGGGGGGGGGGGGGGGGGGGGGGGGAGATCCTAGAGTGCCCATGCCTCGTTTTGCGAGATAACTGTTTAATGTTATTATAATTCAGGTGGCGAAAAACCCACGAATCCAAAAAATCATCTTGTATTTCCAGTGACCGAAAATCTCCAGTGGGCCATTTTCTTGTTGGTTAATAAATTGTGAAGTAATTAGGTGGCTACTGGTTTATATAGACAGCATATTCGATCCTTCTCGCTGCGTGAATACGCCTGAAGACGTACTCAAATAGAGGAGCCATTACCACGGAGAGAAAGTTGGGTCTAACAATGATGAACATCCACTGCGTTAGAGCGATCGACATCGAGTGAGATCGTTAACATCTTTACAG